CCCCCCCCCCCATCACCACCCTTTCCCCCCTGGCATATCCTTAACCTGGGCTAGTTGAAGCTACACTACACTAATACATCTCAGTAGGATATTTCCTCTTTATACAGAACTATTGTTTACAAATCCTGGTCATAAACATATATTTACTTGCAGATATATCTTTATTATAAATACAAGGGACATTAGTTCCAAAACTAACACTTGGCCCATCTCTAACACTGAGTGTTAGAAATGGGCACTAATTGAAAGACTGGGGTTTTTTGATCCCGGTCTATATCCAGAGTAAAAGTCGATAGCAAAAACTATAACCAACATTTTATTAAACATGACGAGGACAACAATTCCCAATTTTATACGTTTTTTAAATCAAAAATAGGAGTTCTTTTTATATTAAATCTCTTGACCGTTTTCAAGACAAAATCAGGTTTTCCATTTTCAAACATATCCTGATTTCGAGACTAAACCCACTTTCCCGTTTTTGAGTAAAATCCACAATTCAAAACAAAACTCACATACATAACTTACAAAATAAAACACTGAAAACAAAAATTTTCTTATGAAGACGAAATTAACTTTTGAATTATTTCTAGAATCTAAGTTTCCACATTTTATCTGTTAAATTAGAGAATATCGATGATTTATTTTCAACATTTTAAACAAACAGTTTCTTGCATTTCTAGTTAAATCTATATAGCAAGAATAATTGTTATTAATATTTGATTTCTCAATGCTGTAATGATTTTTAAATTATAAAAGAGCAGTTTGTTTTTATTTTCTATTTTGCTTATATTTTACCTTATCAAAAAATCTTGTTTGGTTTCATATGTGCGTAAATGCTTAATAATTGACATTGATATGAATTCCGGTAATTGCCTCAAAAAAATGCGACATGAGCTGAAATTCGGTAATTGTTGCAAAATGGGGATATGTTCGAAAATGAAATTAAGAATCATTCAAACCTAATTCTAACACCTTTGTATTAGTTTAAAATTGACATCTATTGTTTCAATATATAGTAATAGCCCCTTTTTTTTATAAATATATGGTGCAATTTTGTTTTACTCGTCTTGGATTTAAAAATATATACTCTTCAAAAAGATAACTTTGCAGATTTTGCCCATTTCTAACAATCAGTGTTAGTTTTGAAACTAATATCCCCTGAAATAGGAATAGTTCTTACACGAAACCTACCCTCAAAGACTATATAATTAATGGTGAACTAGGTGCTATTAGGTTTTGACTACTCTATGAACTAGGTGCTAGGTGTAGAGTACTCTATGAACTATAGGTGATAGGTGTAGAGTACTCTATGAAGTAGGTGCTAGGTGTAGAGTACTCTATGAACTAGG